TCTAAATAAGAGGAATGAGGCACAGAACAGGTTTAAAGAAGAGAACAGTGTTGTGGCAGCCTTTGGGTTTGTTCTGTCACTTGGGACTGAAGACCTAGTGATGTTCCTAGATAATACTAAATAGGAAGCAGGACACCTGGGAGGACAAATAATCCCGACGGCCCCAGAGGAGTCAGGCATGAGCTGGGGAAATGAGGCAATGGAGTCACATTTGGGGCCCTTTCAAGAGGGGAACACTTCAAAAGGGTGCCATCTGCTATGTTCTAATTGAGCTGAGAAAAATTCAAATGTAGCAAAACTGCTTCATTTCCAACCCCTGAATGAAGCTGTTGCTGCCGCCACTGTGAAAGAGCTCCAAGCACGGGTGCACTCACAATCCAGCAGAAAGATAAAGTGGGAGCAAAAATGGCCAAGGCTTAGGAGGCAGCAAGGCAAATTTTGCAGTGAGGAAAGTAAAGTGAACAAGTGGGGTGGGCTCTGTACACAGACACATCAGGTCCTGGAGCACAGAGGGTTCCCTCCCTCACAAGCACTATGATAATGTAGTCCCTGGAGTTGGACATTTCCTTCCCTTCAAGGGACTGACAGATTAGAGGAAGTTCAGAGAAAGGGACCAGAAGCTCTGAGGCTGCTAGAGGGACTGACTTCGGAGGAACAGTTGGAGGTATAGGTGTCTCCCTTGTCTAAGCAACACAAAATGAAGAGGGTGAAAGGTATGAACACCAGTCAAGAGAGGGAAGAGGAGCACCATCAGAGTGGTGCTGTGGAAAAGGATAGGTTTGAAAAGGGAAGCTTTGGCCAAAAATATGGAAAAAAAGATTTTGAAGCTGTTGGAATCCTTTTTCCAGGGAAGACCCAGAATGGGGCTGGATGGGAACTCTCCAGTGTATGAAGTGGGCAGTATGGGATGGTTAGAAGTCATTGCTATGTCCCAGGTCACTATAGACAGGGATAAGATCTACTGATGGCCAGTACAATCAGTAAACACTGATAAAGTTTGGCCTCAACTTGCAATTCCAACAGCAGCTAATGGAGAAGGTGCCCAGGGAAGCCATTAGACAGAAGAGCTCCTGGAGCTCAGCCCATCTCCAAGCAAACAGACGTGGGTGCCACACAATGGACAAGTTCCAGGATGGGTCTCCACTTTCTGCTGCGGCAGTACTGTAACCCCTTCTTGAAGCTGAGTCTCAGAATGTCTGGCACATCAGACTAGAAAAAGCAACTGCTGCAAGCCTGACCCACTGGAGGCAAAAGGAAGAGCCGAAACAACCACTGGGGAAGAAAACTAGCAGGAAATGCCAGGGAGCTATAACAGTATTCCTCAAGAATTATGAAATGGCTAAAAATTTCCACCCAGCAATTCAAAATATAAGGTGAGGATACAGGGCTGCTTCCTCTTATGGAGGAGAAACATTTGCAAAAAGGAGGCAATTCTGTAAGCCCCTTAGAGGCCACAGTGCTGCCTCAGCAGAAAGTGCGGTTCCATCCTGGCCAAGCTTTATCAGTGTTTACTGATTCTGCCTGTCTGCGCAGGTGCTGTTGCCAGCAGGGCTTTGGCTTCTTTGACCATGGGATGTTGTTCCAAGAAGGATTGCTGGGAAGAGATGGGATCCACCTGATGAAGAGAGGGAAGAGTATCTTTGCAGACAGGCTCACTAACCTAGCAAGGAGGGCTTTTAACTAGGTTCACTAGGGGATGGAGGCCAAAGCCCTGTGTTAAGTGGGGAAGTGGGTGACGGGGAGGAAGAGCAAGTAGGAGGGGGCAACAGAGGAGGTGTTCTCATACTTCCTGAGAAATCAGGGCAATTGGCTAGTTACCTTAGGTGCTTGTCCATGAACACATGGAGCCTGGGAAACAAGCAGGAAGAATTGGAAGTCCTTGCACAATCATGGCACTATGATATGATTGGAATAACAGACTTGGTGGGAGTTTGTATGACTGGAGCATTGTCATGGATGGGAACAAAGTGTTCAGGAAGGACAGGCAGGGGAAAAGGGGAGGAGTTGCACTTTATGTAAAAGTGCCATGTGATTGCTCAGAGCTCCAGGATGAAACTAGAGACAGGCCTTTTGAAAGAATCAGGGTTAGGGTCAGAGGGGAGAGCAGCAAGGGTGATGTCATGGTGGGGGTCTGCTATAGACCACCAGACCAAGAGGAAGTGGTGGATGAGGCTTTCTTCAAACAGCTAGCATGTTTCCCAATCACAAGCTCTGGTTCTCGGGGGCACTTCGATCACCCTGACATCTGCTGGGAGGGCAATACAGCAGTGTACAGGCAATCCAGAAGTTTTTAGAGAGTGCTAGGGACAACTTTCTGGTGCAAGTGCTGAAGCAGCCAACTAAGGGCCATGTTCTTCTTGACCTGCTACTCACAAACAGGGAAGAATTAGTGGGGAATGTAGTAGTGGACTTGGGCAGCAGTGACCACAAGATGACCGAGTTCAGGATCCTAAGGAAAGGATGGGGAGCAGCAGAGTAAGAACCCTGGACTTCAGAAAAGCAGACTTCAACTCGCTTAGGGAACTCATAGGCAGGATCCCCTGGGAAGCCAGTCTGAGAGGAAGGAGTCCAGGAGAGCTGGCTGTACTTTAAAGAAGCCCAATTGAGAGTGGAGCAGCACAGTTTCGGGAGGAGGTGAGCAGCCAAGAGTGGCAAAAGAACAGGTTACGGACTATTTAGAAAAGCTAGACATGTGCAAGTCCACAGGGCTGGCTGGGATGCACCCAAAGGTACTGAGGCCACTGGCCATGATCTTTGAAAACTCAGGTGATCAGGAGAGGTCCTGGATGATTGGAAAAGGGCAAACACATATAGTGCCCATATCTAAGAAAGGGAAAAAGAAGGATCCAGGGAACTACAGACTAGTCAGCCTCACCTCAGTCCCTGGAAAAATCATGGAATAGATCCTCAAGGAATCCATTTCTAAGCACTTGGAGGTGATTAGGAACAGTCAGCATGGATTCACCAAGGGCAAGTCATGCCTGACCAACCTGATTGCCTTCTATGATGAGATGACTGGCTCTGTGGATGTGGGGAGACCAGTGAAAGTGGTGTACCTTGATTTTAACAAGACTTTTGATACAGTCTCCCACAGCATTCTCTCAAGCAAGGTAAGGAAGTATGGGCTGAATGAACAGACTGTAAGGTAGATAGAAAATGGCCAGGGCATTGGCCTCAGAAGGTAGTAATCAATGACTCAATGTTTAGTTGGCAGCCAGTCTCAAGTGGAGTGCCCCTGGAAGACAGCATACAGTGCACCCTCAAGAAGTTTGCAGATGACCCCAAGCTGGGGGGAGTAGTACACTTACTGGACGGTAGGGCTAGGATTCAGACTGACCAGACAGATTGGAGGATATTGGGCCAAAAGAAATCTCATGAGGTTCAACAAAGACAAATGCAGCCTTGCACTTAGGACAGAACTATCCCATGCATCAGTACAGGCTGGGGGCTGACTGTCTGGGCAGCGGTTCTGCAGAGGACTTGGGGGTTACAGTGGACAATAAGCTGAATATGAGCCAACAGTGTGCCCTTGTTGCCAAAAAGGCTAATGGTGTACTGGGCTGCACTGGTGGGTGTTTGCCAGTAGGTCAAAGGAAGTGATTATTCCCCTCTAGTCAGCACTAATAAGACCACATATGGCATACTGTGGTCAGTTTTGGGCCCCCCACTACTGAAAGGATGTGGAAAAATTGGAGAGAGATCAATAAAAATGGTGAAGGGACTGAGACACATGACATACGAGAGGCTGAGGGAACTGGGCTTATTTAGACTAGAAAAGAGAAGACTGAGAGGGGGTTTAATAGTAGCCCTTAAGTACCTGAAATGGGGTGGGGGTCAAAAGAGGATGGAGCTAAACTGTTCTCATTGGTGGCGGATGACAAAACAAGGAGCAATGCTCTCAAGTTGCAGCAAGGGAAGTTTAGATTAGATATTAGGAACAATTCTTTCACTAGGAGGGTAGTAAAACACTGGAACAGGTTACCCAGAGAGGTTATGGACTCTCTGTCCTTGGTTTTTAAGACCTGGCTAGACAAAGCTTTGGCTCAGATCTAGTTGAGGATATTCTTGCTTTGAGCAGGGGGTTGGACTAGATGACCTCTTGAGGTCCCTTCCAACCCTAATTTTCTATTATTCTGATTTTAGTAACCAACTCAGTATCTTTCCAGCTGTGCCTAATGCTAACATCACTCTCTTGGAAGTCAGAGATGCTGCTGTTTCAAGTGGAAAACCTAGAAGGGAAGAAGTATTTGAAAAACACCAGCTCAGCAGTGCTGTGTAGCCAAAGCAAGTAGAAGGGAAATTTAAAACCATTTCAGCAGCTGCTTGCTTTTCCTTGTCCTTCCCTTTTGCCCTTGCCTTTGCTGGAACATGCTCATAAGCAATGGTTCTCAATCTTTTTGTACCAGGACCCATTTGTAAACATTGATAGCCAGTCCCACCCACTGCCCCTCAGCCCTGACCCACTGCCCCCCACCCTCCCCAGGTCCCAGTCCCCCCCAGTGTGTGGGGCAGGGGAGGGCCCAAGCAGCCCTTTGCAGGCTGGAACTCTGCCAGCCTGCAAGGGAAAAGCCAGTTTTCCAAGGTTTTTCTCCTTTAAAGGAGAATCCATTTTTCAAGTTTCTTGATCCATTTTTGTTCATGACCCTTCTATATATTCTTGCAACCCATTTTTCGGTTGCGACCCATAGGTTGAGAAATGCTGCCATAAAGAACACTGGTTTCTGTCCACCCTTGGCCAACTAGAATGTGGGCAGCAGTAGCCCAGTTTTTTGTATGGATAAGGAGTGAAATTTCTTTTCTAAGGAGGTTCTCCTGCTTTCCCCAGGCTCAACCCACCCTATCCTCAGGCCTCCAGCAGAGGAAGGGTGGCTGCCCCTGATACCTGGATCAGTTGCCAACTTTCCTGGCTTGTAGGCACAAGCCAGTATGAACATTCGTAGCCTCTCCTCTTGTTGGGTAGGGCCATGGACTGCTGGCACCACTGAAAAATGCAACAGAGCTGGAAAATAGATTTTTTATATATCTATAAATACACACACACACACACGTCCTGTGTGGATGCAGCAAGGCTAAATAGGTTAGGCAAAGGTGGGGAGAGACTATCAGGTCCCAGTCTCCACTTCCACCACCTCAGCCACATGACTGAAGCCCACACTCTCCTGGATGATGACCAAGTCACCTGGGGAGCCTTTGTCTTGCACAATGATGCATTTGTCCTCATGCTCAGAGATGGTGATCTCAATGATGTCTTTGTTTATTGGTTCTTGCCCTGCAGAGGTCTCAGAGCCCAGCACCATGGGCTCCGGAGAGCTGCCTGTGGGCGGAAATGTGGCAATGCAATGGCCATTGGCAGTTATCAGGAGTTCTGCCTCGCTTGTGGAAGCCGAGTGTACCACAAGCACCGTAGGCTCCTCTGTATCCCCCACTTGAGGGGCCGTCCTCTTGGGCCTCTTCCTGGCAGCTTTTTGCATGTCCCTGTCCAGCGAGACCACAGCCTCCATCAGCTTGTTGGAGTTCCTGGCCGTCCGATGGGTGATCTTGTGGCGTGTCAGGCTCTGTAGGAGGGTGTAGCCCATGCCACAGATGTCACACTTGTAGGGCTTGTCCTCCAGGTGGGACTTCTGGTGCCGGCGCAGCTTGGTGGCCAGCGTGTAGGCCTTGCCGCACTGCTCGCATTTGAATGGGCGCTCACCTGTGTGCAGACGCTCATGGGCCCGCAGTGTGTGTGGGTCCTTCAGTGCCTTGCCACAGACTGTGCACAGGTGGGCCTCCCCTGTGTGGGAGATGAGGTGCCGCCGCAGCTCTGGGATCTGGGGGAAGGCGTCCCCGCAGAAGCGGCACTTGTAGGGTTTCTCACCAGTGTGCAGCCGCAGGTGCCCCCGCAGGTTGCCCTGCTGCCGGAAATCCCTGCCACAGTAGGGGCAGACAAAGGGCTTCTCCCCAGTGTGCAGGCGCATGTGATTACGCAGGGAGCCAGGGTTGGCCAGGCGGCGCTCGCAGATGGCGCACTCACATCCCTTGGGACTGGCGGGATCAAGCTCCTTGGCGAGGTGGATCTTCCTGTGGATGCGCAGGGAGGGTCGGCGAGCAAATGTCTTACCACACTCCTCACAGGTGAAGGGGCGCTTGCCTGTATGCAGCACCTCATGTTCCCTCAGGTCTCGCTTCGTGCCATAAGCCTTTTCGCACTGCTTGCACTGGAAGGGGCGCACTCCCTGATGGAACAACACGTGGGCCTTGAAGCTCTCCTCAGAGCTGTAGCTCCTGCCACATTCTGTGCACAGGAAGGGCTTGTAGCCGGTGTGGACAAACCTGTGTTTCTTGAGATGACAGAGCTGAAGAAAGGCCTTGCCGCAGTCCCCACAGTGGTACTTGCGCTCACTGGCCTCCTCCTCCTGAATTTGGGACTTCTGCTGGGAGACATCCAGCTTATCAGAGGACCCCTCCCCCAGTTCAACAGTGACTTCTACTTTAGGGTACTCATTGTGCTCCTCTGAAGCATCAGGTAGGCCCTTCTTTCTGGGCTTTGGGGACTCCAGTTTGGAACAGCCTTTGGAAACCTTTCCAGCTTTCTTACAGGTCTCCACAGCATCTTCTCCCTCATAAGTGATTGAATTGTTGGCCTCCTGTCCAGACACCCTGGCACTGCATTCTTGCAGGCACTTCCGGAACTGGCCGGTCAATGTGTGAATTTTGCGTGGCTTCCCAGCCAAGCGAGCACTGAGTCGAACTCCATTCGATGGAGGCAGTGGCAGCTGGAGCTTTCCCAAACTTGCCTCTCTTCGCTTCCCATCTGCTTTCTCTGCCTTGGTCGGGGGATCCACACCCTCAACCAACCCCCTGTTACATCTGTTATCAGCTTCAGCTGCTGAAGTACTCTCAGGGTGATGGTTCTCTTTCCTCAGGATCGCAGTCTCCGAGAGCTCATTTGTAGGAGTCATGATCTCCTCCTCCAGGTTGTTGCCTTGCAGCCTGTGGGAACATTTGGCTGGCTGCTTCTTGCCTTCATCAGTAGGGACATCCTGGGCTCTGGTTTCTTTGTCCATCACTTGGGAAATATCAGAGCAACCTGCATAAATACAGAATCAGGAAGAGAATTAAAAATCGGGTGCAAGAGAGTTCCTTGACCACAGAAGGGAGGAATACAAGCAGACTTTTCACTCTAGAGAGAGGGAAGAAATTCAATTCTGTTGCATCAGGAAGCACACGCCACAGAGGTAGTATTTCTGGGAATTGTGTCATGATTGGCAAAGCTGGGCAGTAGGGCATGTCCCTTTGCGTTTTGGTACTTCTGGCAGTGGTGTAAGATAAAGATAAGGTTAGTGGAGCTAATGGTGACTGCAGGGTCAGTGTTAACCACAGTTCACCGGCTCATCATGCATCTGTGGGGCTCCTTAGAAGTCAATAATTCAATGCACAAATGCCAGTCTTCAGTATGCATTCTCAGATTGGAAGAACAGCAGCCATGACTGGAACCACGCAGTCACTTCTGCATAGTATGAGCTCATGGCTACTTGATAGTGTCCCACCTTCCACCTGGGTTAGCTTAAAAAAACTGCCCAGTAATAGAGTCAACTCCTGCATCACAGCCACATTCTTCCTCTTCCACAGAACTCTAGACCAGTGTGAGCCAACATTTTTGGCAGACATAGCACAAATTAGCCCTGCACACTCACCAAGTGCCAGTCTGGTTCCTTTCCCTTACCCAATCTGCTGCTTTGCTCTCTGCTCTCTTCCCTGTGCTTCCTATCTGCCACTCTGCTGCCTGTCCCCTACCCAGTCTGCCACATGCCATACACACAGGCTGCCCTTTTCCCTCTCATGGCACCCATGCACAGGTTGACCACCCCTGCTCTAGACAGTAGTCCCAACTCCCCCCACATCCCCAGCCACCTCTCCTGAAGGAAGAGAGGAAGGCAGGGAACCCTTGCTCACCTGTTGTCATGGGGATGGATCAACAACACCGACAGTGGTTGGGAAAGGCTTAAAGTGTTTTCAAACTGGCTCCCCTGAGGGTTTCACAATCTTGGCAGCAAGCATTACTCTAGTGGCATGCTAATGCAACCAGTTCTCACAGGCTGTGTTCAGGAGGGCTTGCTCTTTGCTTAACAGCACTATAGCCACAACCTTTTCAAAAGGAAGTTAGAACAAAACCTTGTGTCCTGTGACAGGAACATACCTGAGAAAGGTTCTGCTGCTTTACCAGCAGGGGAGGCCCCTTCCCTTTGAACCACAGTCTCCACCATTGGAGTTCCTGTCTTTGTCACTGCTGCTGCTGCCAGCTCCCCATTGGGATTCTCCTCTTCCTCAGGAACAGCTATTGTGTCAGAGGCACTTGGCAGCCTTCTTCCCTCCCCCTCGGTAGGGCCATCATGGGCCTCTTTAGGCCAGTACAACAACTCAGCACCTGCAGGGATGGGACGCCACACTCGGATATGGAGCCTTCCACTGAACCACACCAAAGCTACGTTTGCCTCATCCTCCTTGTGGCCTTGCTTCACCAAGCTGCAAGACACAAGGCAAACATCAACGTGCATGTGAGGGTGAGTGGCTCCTATCTGCTTCATGGGAGTACCAGGCTTTGAAGGCCTGCAGGACTGAACAGCTGGTAGCTAGAAGTCCTCCCATGGAACAAGCCCTTGGCTGCAAGAGGCCCTCCCATGCCTTGATTAGGGGGCTGGACAAGACCTCATGAGGTCCCTTCCAGACCTACCTTCCTATTATCCTAGGATTTTTAAGTTTTCAGATTGCAGGTAACTATTACCTAGGTCCAGAACAGACCTGCCTATGGTTCCTAAACAGGAAGGCCAATCAAAGTAATGCCTCCTATTTTTTCACTCAACTAAATATTACAGAAAAAATATTAAACTTGCACAGAAAATGTATACATCATAACTGAACAACAGCTATTTTTCAACAAAGGCCACCAGCAGCCTTTCGCCACTGGTGAACAAGGGCACGTATCCCAACACTGTGAAAGCCTTTTTTGCCTTTGTTGCACAGCCACTATCACACAGCCTCCATCACTTCACTGTCATCTCCAAAACGTTGCCCTTGCAGTCCATCCTTCACCCCTCCAGGCTGTATGCAGGATGGGGCAGCACAGTCCATTCAAGCAATGAGATTGCCTCTATGGTGTGCAAGCTGGTGTGTGGGTAAACATCATTATCCAGAAGTACCATGTCTGGTGGTATGGGGTCTTTGCATACAATATTCATTTCCTTTTGAGTCCTGACACGGGCTTCCCTGAGGCAAGAAGTCAATAAAATAAGCGCACTCCATGTTCGTGGCTTGTGTAAGAGATAAAAATCAGGAGGCACTACATTCTGAGTGACCCTTGTACAATGTCAAGATACATGCCCTTGTTCACCAGTGAAAAAAGCCCACTAAAGAGATTACATTGAAAAATAGCTGTGTTTGGCTATGGTGCACAACTTTTCTGTGAAAGTTTCATGTTCTTGTTTGGCTGAGTGAAAAACAAGAGGCATCACTTTCTGACTGAACCTCATATTTTACCTTCCTGGGGGTCCAGGTGGCCATTGGGAGTCCTGCTGCAGAAATAACCCAGAGAGATAGAGTTGGGGTTCATCCTCTCCCCTTTCGCTCACAAATAAGGAAGCAGTGGAGTGCCCTGTCACGCAAGCAGCCCCTTTCTTCCAACAGGGGCACGGGTGCAAATCTCCCAGTACGGAGCACTTCCCCCACCCCTGAAACGCAGCCAGCTCTGGGGCAGGAGGCCAAGGATGTCCCCGCCCCAGCGGCACCTCACTCTCCGGCAGCACAGAGCAGGAAACCGAGAAGCATGGCCTGCAGCGTGACTGGCACCATCCTTAGCCACTCCTGGGAAATCTGCCACGGTTGCTCTGCCCTGCCAGGCGTGGGTTGGCAGCTGCATCAGGGCTGGGTTTGCCAAGAGGCAACACAGTGGCGATGGAGAGGGCAGTTGGGACAGGGATGCTCCTGGATGTGGGTCCAGCCCTGCTGTTCTATGATGGAGATGCTGTGCAGGCCCGGGGCTGCCAAGCAGGACTGTGACCCAAGCCAGGGTGACCACAGCCCCTGGTCACAGGGCACGGGCAGGCACGCACCTCCTCCAGCTAGTGCTGCACGGGCACAGGCAGGTCTCCTCCACCGGCACCTACAAGACACAACAGACCGGGGACAGGTCTCGCCATCCCCACGAGAACCAGACCCCCACACCCGGTGCCAGGGGCCGTTTAGAACCA